TAATGTTGAAAGAAAAGCTATTAGCCCTCCTGTGAAATCTGTATTATTTTTTTTGAATATTTCCCCTCTGATTTCCCCCACAGTCCAAAGACACGCGCTATAGGTAAATTGAATAAGCTAAATTGGCCGTAGTGTATGTGTGGGTGTAAATGCAGGAGTGTATGGGTGTTCCCAGTGCTGGGTTGCCGCTGGAAAGGCATCCGCTGCATAAAAAATATGCTGGATATGGTGCTTCATTCCGCTGTGGTGACCCCTGATTAATAAAGGGACTAAGCCAAAAATAAATAATTCCCAAGTGCAAAACACATGTTTAAAGATTTTATTATCTATTTTCTTTTGTTTTTACCATGATGAAAGTACATATTTTCCTAGTTCAAGAGTTCCTACCTAGATGTGCTTGGCATTAATAGCTGGTTTGGCATGCTGTCCCGGGAGAGAACCCTGAGCTCGGAGATACTTGAGTCTAAGGCTGCCACCCGGTCAATAAACATATAAGGGGATCCGAGATCAGGAAGGAGGAAAAGGAAGAGATTGAGTGGAAGGGGATTTCTTTTTCAAAACGAAGATAGAGCAGTAGGGAAAAATCGGTCCATTTATTGTAAGCTTGGATCAATCTAATTAGATTATTACAGATTACAGATGAGCCACCAGTCGTGCTCATTCACATCACATGCTCCTCTCAAAATTAGTGTATGAAACTTCAATTATTTTGCAAGATACTAGTATTCTCCTTAAAGTGTGATTGACAGGCTTAACTATATTATTGGACAACAGTCCCAGCAGGCACAAGACATAAACATGACATCAGATTGACGTTGTACTCCAGTGTTGTGGGACATTGCATTTTGTTTGAAAATGAAAATTGGGTTGATGTCAGAACCCAACATCTGTGCGACGTCACTGTCCAGTATCAGATAGACATTGCATTTTGGTTATTTTCCAACGCAACGTAAAAACATCCAAACATCAACCTCAAATGATGTTGTGTGGACAGCACCCCAATGATGTCTGTCAGACCTTGGATTGGTAAATGTCAGTATTTGGCGTCAATATGACGTTGGTGTTGGCTCAACATAGGAGTTTGGTCACTTTCCAACACAACCTAAAATCAAGTATCAATGTCATTTCACGTCATTATGGGACTTCACAATAACGTTGTCCTTAGATGCTGGCGACCTAAATCTAACCTGATATTAACGTCTTCAGACGTTGTGTGTCTGGTAGTCAATGAAAAAAAAAATCTTAAATCAATAATAATAATGAACTTGGAAGATTTAGATTCCATGCAGTCAACCTAAAAGAAATAAAACTTTCTGTATAAAGACAAATATAGGAAATACTCTGAAAATGTCTTTTTATGAGAAAAGTTTCGAGAAATATTTTGAGAAATAACTTTAGATATATTTGAAAACGATTTCAAATCTCACAGGAGAGCTACTAATTTTGCTTTCAACTGCATATAATGATGTTCATTAAATTGAACTTTACATTAAACATTAAACTTATTCCTATAGTCATAGTGATTACTTCAATCACTATGACTATAGGAATAAAATAAGAAAATTAGATAAAAAAAATAAAATTAAATAGAATTTTTTTTCATGTAGCAGAACGTAATATATGATACCTGTTTGAGGTTAAAAACTAAGCATTTGAGAAGGAAAAGTGCACCACCAAAACTAAAAAACAAAATTAAATGAGACTGTATCAAAAAACTAAGAAAATATATTTTAAAAGATGGAATAAGTATTATTTTATTATTTAACATATAACAAATGCTATTATATAAAAAATGCGCAATTACAACATGCACAATGCTGACAATGACCAAAATCATAGGCTCTACATACAAATGTTGCAATGCACTTTTGAACCTGTCAGTGTTCCACCGTTTCCTTCAGTCCTTTAAAACACAGATGATGGATGCATGTCCCCCAATAAAGCGCTGTTTATTCAATTACCATCAAAGGTCATTTCATGCATATCACTGGCTGCAGAGAATGTGAGACGAAAAACGACAACTAATAGCTAAACCCTAACATGCCATATATTTCCGAGGGAATCTGCAGTGTTCGGGAGCTCGTTGTGTGACTTTTAGTCTTCCCCTATGCATGCCTGGTCGAGCCCTCGCTCTTTAACTCGGTGTTTACTTATTAACCAAGTGTGTCAGTGCTGGTCGGATCTGTTGTAGCATAGATCCTCATAAGGGTTATGGTGTGTGAACGTTTTCGTTTAGTTTTGTAATTAGATATATGACAAATAGTATTATAAGTATTCTAGTCTTCCAAATGAAAACACGCCGTGTGATCGTGTGAACAGTGATAAGTATAATCTGCTTTTCCCGAGAAAAGTGTATAATATATATTTATCGTAAAAGTGTGTTTATTGAAGGATATGAATGTGAGACAGAAGAGCTGATATGTTATGAATAAAGCTGATGAAATAGCCTTATTATTATTACCGTTCCTGTCCTACTGATATTTCTCCAGCATGTGCTTAACTGTAAATGAATGATGTGGCCTTTAATGTCACTCCTCAAGCAGAACATGCACATTTTAGCATTGTAAACCCTTGGCCCTGTTTAGCAAGCGGTTGATATTTTAGTTTTCGATCATGTTTTAATGATGAAGGCTTTAAAGGGCTTCCTGTACAAGAATCGATTCCCCCACCCCCGGTTTTTTATTCTATGCAAGACGGATGCATGTCAGAAACATTCACATCCAGCAGCAGTGGTTGGTGATGACAGACGGCTAATTGCTGAGATATTTTGCATGTTGTTTATTTATGCTATGTGGATTATTAAAGCTGAAGTTTTAAAATGCCTATCAGTGTGTTTGAGTCTTTTGTTGGGAGTTTGTTCCATATTGAAATCTGATATTATGTGTAAATGACATATATGACATTCAGGTTTATGTTTGAATTCCACATACTGTAAATAAAAACTGTCCTATGTTTTAAAATATAACAAAACTATGTACATACAGTGGGTGACACTTCAAAATGACCATTACTGCCGCTTGTGGCACCGCTGCAGGATAAGGGATTAAGAACGTGTTTTTAGGCAACATAGGTTCATTCTGAAAATGTAGCCCGATATACATTTCTGGAGATCGCGAATTATGTAGCCAGAAGTTCGTATGGCTGCATTTCGTCTTTATAGCTAATGCTACGGTGCGGTATGACGCTGTTCCGTTTCACGCTTACCAGCTGGCTGCTTACCCCCATGTGGAAGGCATGTACGTCAGTGGACTTGAGACGCAGAGAGGACTTGGTGAGGACCGGTTCAAGAAAGCGGTTAAGGCAAAAACAGAATCAGAACAGAACAAAAAAATAAGGTGAGAATGTGGTAAAATCTGAAAATGTGGTAAGAATCAGGCGTTTCTTTTTCTGGATTGCTTTTTTAAAAATTGTCGGTTATGTTTAGGGAAGAGGGTGATCAGTTCAATCGGTGCTTTTAAAAACACTATTGGTTGGGTTTAGGGAAGACAGAGTCATTCAGTAAGTCAAACAGTCGTTCAACAGTGGATTTATGTGAGAACAGCAGGCGCAAATAACACTCAAGAGAGAAATCGGAGATCTCAAAAAGCGTACACAGCAGGCTATGGTGGATTCGCAAAAACAAAAACTGCAAAAAAAAAAAACGTAGCTTCTGGGATGTATTTGGCAGTCTGCAGAAATGTATAGAGGTATGTTTTCAGAATGAACCTGGGTTGTTTTGTAGGTGTAACAGCAGTTTGCAACTGTGCCACCAGAGGGCACAAAGGGACGGGATGCAAACGGACAAATATACAGTAGCTGTAAATACCCTGCTACTTGTAAATGAAGATGAAACAACGAAGCAAAGCATTATAATTTCTTCACAAATCATTAAAACTTGATAACAAGCTTTATTATTGTACACTTGTTAAAGGCAATGAGGACTCATTTTGAAATCTGTGTTCGATCTGTGTTTATTTATTTGTTTACATATTTTGAGATTTTTTTTAAATTCTAAATAAAACTAAAGGATTTAGAAATCGAACTTTCTTTTTTATCCCAACCCATAATAGGGCACTATAAAGACTAAATAACTTAATTCTTATAGTTGCTTAATATTTGCACCCTATGGGCTATGCTTCTCACCAAGTATTGTAGACAACTTTTTTATTTTTACTAAATTTGCAACAATTTCAAAAATTCTTTTTTCACATTGTCATTAAGGAGTATTGTGTGTAAATTTTGAGGAAATAAATTAATTTAATCCATTTTGGAATAAGGCTGTAACATTAAAAAATGTGGAAAAAGTGAAGTGCTATGAATACTTTCCGGATGTCAGATTGGTTCAGGTAGGGCCTCTGTCCTGCTGCACTGCATCAACGACCACATTTTGTCATATAACATATATCCACCAATCAGTGCAGTTGTCGAGGCGGAATTTCAAGCGCAACTAATCATATTAAACAGAGACACGGTAAAAAATTTAAAGAAATTAAAATTAAAAATTAAAAAGAAATTAAAAAGTTCAGAGAACATTTTTGCTGCCTATAATGAGTAAGTTAAACACACCTGTTTATGTTTTGATGCCAAAACTTGGTATTTTAAGTAATGTCAAGTTATATAACTTAATAGGCTAATTTTCATTTAATGTGAACTATCCCTTTAGTTGTCCATTTTAGTGCAACTCAATTCACCTCATTGCTACATGACACAAAAGATATCCATTTTCTAACTGGCTGAGAAAAACATATAGTGTTAGTTTCACAACTTTGAATAAAATGGCCACATCAAAGAGTGGGTAATGATGATCAATGCCATTTTTTTAGAACTTCAAAAAATATTAGAAAACATAAATTACTGTTTTGATAAATTCTGTGTCTATACAGACATTAGAAAGATCAAAATTCAAAGACAAGTATTAGAAAAGGACTAAAAAATATTTGCTATAGACCTATTGTGAATTTACTCATTATTTATGAAATGTTCTGAAACACTTTACAGTGTTTAAATTGCACTTTACAGTTGTATAAGTTAATGTATTTACTAGCATGAACAAATATTGAACAATACATTTACTACAGTACTGTTACTTGTTTAATTACAATTAATCTCTTTGCTGTAGTGTTGTCCTCTAGTAGGCCTTCTGTTATAGCTTATCTGGACTGTTCATGGCACTATATCGAGCGCAAAGTGAGAGGCGGTGCTTTACATTCAGCATCAGGAGCAGAAGCCCATCATCATCATCAGACATTCAATCAAAGCCACCTCACCATGATCATCATCCACGAGGACACACTCAGATCAGTCATGGTCACACTGCTTTCATCTGCAGGAATATCGAGAAAAACTCACATTAACGCGATGACTTTTGGGAGAGAGTTATTCATGGAGTTTATTTTCGACGTCTAAGGTAAGTTTGGAGCGTTAAAATGAGGATTTATCAACGCGAAGAAGACAAAAAACCTCAGTTATCTCTCTCACTTTACAAAAAGCGCGCGGAATGAGGGGCGCGTGCCAGAACTTGAGGAAAACTTTACTGGCACGCGAGAGTTGATGAATCTGCTTGTGGATAAATGGTGTCCACTGATGCCAGGATGAGGGTGTGTAACCGTGGAGTGCAGATGCTCCTCACCACGGCGGGGGCTTTCGCGGCCTTCAGCCTCATGACCATCGCGGTGGGCACCGATTACTGGCTGTACTCGCGCGGAGTCTGCAGGACCAAGAGTGTCAACGACAACGACACCAACCGCAAGAATGAGGAGGTGCTGACGCATTCAGGACTCTGGAGACAGTGCTGCATGGAAGGTACTTTTTGTGATTTCAGAAAGTAGTTAACATGCTTTTATTGCATGTTTAAGGGATTCAACGTTGTCCTATTAAACTAAAAATGTCGAAAATGTAGTTTTTTTGCACGTTTAATGGATTCAATATTATCTTAATAAAATAAAAGTGTCGAAACATGAATTTTATTGCACGTTTATTAGAATCAATATTCATTCATTCATTCATTCATTTTCTTTTCGGCTTAGTCCCTTTATTAATCTGGGGTTGCCACAGCAAAATGAACCGCCAACTTATCCAGCATATGTTTTACGCAATGGATGCCCTTCCAGCTGCAACCCATCTCTGGGAAACATTTATTCACACTCATACACTACGGACAATTTTAGCTTTAACTCAACACAGAAATGCCAACTGACCCAGCCGAGGCTCGAACTAGCGACCTTCTTGCTGTGAGGGCACGGCACTACCTACTGCGCCACCGCGTCGCCAGAACCAATATTATTAAACTAAAAGTGTTGAAAAAAGAGTTTTATTGCACGTTTAATGGATTTAATATTATCTTAATAAACTAAAAGTGTTGAAAAATGCTTTTATTGCACGTTTAATAGATTCAGATTGTAAGAGGAGAAATTAAATATCCAAAATCAAACAAAAAGTGCTCTGGGGTAGCTTAAATAATGTGTCAGTGCTCTTTGGGTAAGGGATTCATCAGAATAAACAACAAAAATCAGTCCAAGGCACTCAAAAAATGTGGAAAATATAATAAAAAGCGGCGGTTCATTCCGTTGTGGCGACCGCAGATTAATTAAAGGACTAAACTGAAAAGAAAATGAATGAATGATTAATAAAAAGCCATGGCTAATGCTTAAAAAATCTAAGCGTTTTTGGCAAACAACTGTTTTTTTAAGCATTAGCCACGTGAATAAAGGCTTTTTGATATTTTTTCCACATTTTTCAAGTCCCTTGGACTGATTTTTGCTGTTTATTATGATAAATTCATTATTTAGTCGAATCATTTAGTGTTTTGGAAAGATGACCATTGTCTTATTACAGTAAAGTGTGGAAAATGCTTTTTATTACATGTTTAATGGATTCAGATACCAATAGGATGAATTATTGTTTAGTCGTACTTTATGTTAGTCTTTTCAGGGTTAACCATTGTATTATTATAGTAAAATTGTCAAAAAAAATGTTTATCGCATGTTTAATGGATTAAAATGATAAATTAGTTATTATATACCAATTTATAATAGTCTTTTCAAATGGTGAGCATTGTTTTAGTAAAGTAAAAGTGTCAAAAATGCTTTTTTTATGGCATGTTTTATGGATTCAAATAGGCTAGTAATAGAATAAATTACTTATTTAGTCCCACTACATGCTTATAATTTTGGAGGTTAACCATTGTTTTATTATGGTAAAAGTGTCGAAAAATATTTCATTGCATGTTTAATAGATTAAAATATTACAATATATATAAAATAATTATTAAGTCTCACTTTATGTTAGTCTTTTGGAAAGTTAACTATTGTCTTATTAAAGTAAAATTGTAGAAAATGGATCTTAATTGCATATTTAATGGATTTTTATATATTAATATAAAAAAATATATTATTAAGTCCCCCTTTATGTTAGTCTTTTCGAAAGTTAACCGCTGTTTTATTATACTAAAAGTGTTGTAAACATGAGTTTCTAGTCAATTGATTACTTTACCCCTCTTGGTTATTGCAGCAAAACCACAGTTAAAGGGATTGTTCACACACAGTAAAAAATGATATGATCAATTAGCCTTGTCAGCATATGTTTTAGGTCATTGTAACTTAATAAACCAAGTTAATTATGTTCTAACCTAATTTTATAAGTTATACTAGCTGTTTTAAGTCAGTTTAACATAATATAAGTTCAATGGACTTATAAGGTTAAATTGATTTAGCTAAAAATTTAAGGCATCCAGGATTGTTTACAGTGCAGAAGAATACAAATTTACTAACTTTTTACTCTTCCTCAAGTATTTCCCAAACTTTAAGAGTTTCTTTTTTTCTGTTGACCCCAAAAGAAGATATTTTGAAGAGAGATGAAAACCTGTAACCATTGACTTCCATAGTAGAAGAAACAAATACTATGGAAGTCAATACAAGCTTACAACATTTTCCACAAAAGCTTAACAGAAGAAATAAACTCATTAAGGTTTAAGACAAATAAAGGGGCAGTAAATGATGACAGCATTTTAATTTTGGGGTGAACTATCCCTTTAACCTTTGTTTACCCTGATTAACAATGGTTAGTTTTCTGAAAGACCCTCAGTAACCTTGGATTTTGGATTTAGTAACAAGTCGGTTTAGCTAGTGGTTGGTTAGGGTGTAGGGTTAGAATTAGTACAGCTGGAATTGCATTTTACAGGTGAAATTAGGTTGTATTTACATCTATGTATTGCATAATATTACTGAAGTTGCCTGAAAAATTTAATACATACCAATAAAGCTATATATTACATTGCTTAAATGGAGTAAAAATATCTATTTATGGTAACAATTTGTTCTTGTGGGTTTCCTCCGGGTGCTCCGGTTTCCCCCACAAGTCCTAAGACATGCGCTATGGGTGAATTTAATAAGCTAAAATGTCCGTAGTGTATTTATGTGAATGAGTGTGTATGGGTGTTTAACAGTGATGGGTTGCAGCTGGAAGGGTCATCCGCTGCGTAAAACAAATGCTGGATAAGTTGGCGGTTCATTCCGCTGTGGCGACCCCAGATTAATAAAGGAACTAAGCCGAAAATGAAATAAATGAATGGTAACAATTTTACTATGCATATTAGTATATTAGTTATCATTTAACCAGTAGCTTCTTAGATGATCATAACAGATCAATGTCTTTATAAATGTTGTGTGTGTCAGATGACCATAAAAGTACCAGAGTTGGAGCCGAATCAAAGCCCTTTCCCGTGGGACGATTTATTTATTTCATTATCGATTGAATTATTTTTACTTTCTCTCACACTCCGCGTTCCTCTAGTTTCGACCCATCTCTCACACCCTCTCCTACTCTCTGACCTATATCAGTTCTGCATCAATTCTTTTAATGGAAAGTGTAATGAAGCGTTCGCTCTGTTAAAAGGGCATCAAAGTGGCAGCGTTCACTTTACGTGTGTAAATGCGGGAGCGAGTACGAGATATTTAGCCGAGTTTAAGTAGAGAGTTATGAAAGACTATGATTGACAGACCATATTGTGCTATATCTGTCAGCTATGCAGATGTATGAAGTGCATGCTGACTTTATAATGCACACAAGCACCTATATAAAGCAATGGAGGGATGCTTTAAATAAGTGAAGAGCTTTTATGTTTGATTTGTGGAATGACATTTAGAGAAAATGTGAACGCTGTGTGTTTTTTGAGAATGTCTAATTAGAAGGGAGGATATTGATACCGTTAATGATTTGATAGCATTAGTGCAATCATGTGGAAAATGGCATTGACGCATGTGTGACTGAATGCGTCCGGATGTGCGTGTTTCTTACAGGCATATTTAAGGGCGTCTGTAAAAACATCGACCATTTTCCAGAGGACGCGGATTATGAACAAGATGCTGCGGAATATCTGTTGCGTAAGTCTCTACGTCTACTGCAGGGGTGTCCAAACTCGGTCCTGGAGGGCCGGTGTCCTGCAAAGTTTACTTTCAAACCCAGTCAGACACACCTGGGCTAGCTAATCAAGCTCTTACTAGGCTGACATCCTGAGATATATCCAGCTGCAGGCCCGCAGAACCTCACACGTTTGAGGCACACACAATCTAGGACACACAATCTAGGCAAACCATATATGGTAACTAACTCTTTAGCATTATCGCCACCTATTGAATTTCACAAATATGGTTTCCCATTTCATTCATTATTATTATTATATCGTAACGATCATTTTAACATCTCTGCAGTTTTTGAACTTAAATTATGTAAATAAAAATAATTGGTTAAAGAAACTTGTGACTTTATAAATGTGTCCATATACACAAAGAAAACATAATAGACCGTCTAATTGTTGGATTAAGTGTAATAAACTAATTCAAGCTCTTAATATTATCATACTCGGTTAAAATCACTTTGTTGTAAAATATAAAAAGCAAACAATAATATGTCACTTTAAAATAAATTAGCCTACTATAGTTAACCATTTTAACAACATATATAGTATATATATATATATATATATATATATATATATATATATATATATATATATATATATATATATATATATATATATATATATATAGTTATAAACTGATTATCTTAACTGATTATAATTATAAGTTTATATATAAACTACTATCTTTTACTAAACTTTCACTGTTAAAGGTGTTATGTATGTATATATATATATATATATATATATATATATATATATATATATATATATATATATATATATATATATATATATGTATATATATGTGTGTGTGCGTGTGTGTGTGTGTGTGTGTGTGTGTGTGTGTGTGTGTGTGTATTTATATATCCACTTATGATTTTTTTTATTAATAGTTAATTTGTTCCTATTTGTTTCCTATTACTGTAGTATTAAATTACTACAGTATTAAATGTGGGAAATCATTAATTAATAGGTTATTAGAAAATTAAGCTAATAAACACTATTAAATCGCTTGAGTAAAATATTAATATAGTGTTATACATTTGTTACATGTAAAAAGATTTTTATTACATATAATGTATTATTGCCTATATTAACTTGCTACTATTTCCTTCATCATAGATTAGTCCATTATATAAATAAAACCTGTCCAAATGAGATCATTCAGCAAGGCCAGCAAACGAGTATCTGCCTTATTATTGTCAGATAATAATGACTGATCAGCTATAATGACTGGTTAAAAACTGTTCACTCTATTATATTGAATGGCGATCGGAAACACTGCTCCCCATTCTGCCGTCTCAATCGCAATATTTGTGAAATAAAGTAAAGTAAACACTATTGTTTATTGTGTACAATATTTATTAATCATATATATCAAAATATATCAATGACGATGTCCAAAAAGACGTTATAACTTTAACATCCGTCGTAACCATATATGGTTTGCCTAGATTGTGTGTCCTAGATTGTGTGTGCCTAAAACGTGTGTGGTTCTGCGGGCTTGCAGCTGGATATTATTGGACATCCTTGCAGGTGTGTTGAGGAAAGTTGGAGCTAAAATCAGCAGGAGTTTGGACACCCCTGCTCTACTGTAACTTCATTATTTGCACAGTAGGCTCAGTTAAATCACTACAAATACTACATATTAGGGAATTTGTAAATATGAATACACTCAATGCTTTGTTGTTGTTGTGTTTGTGTGTGTGTCAGGTGCTGTGCGCGCTTCTAGTCTCTTCCCTATAATGAGTGTGGGTCTGCTGTTCATTGGTGGAGTGTGTGTCGCTGCCAGCGAGTTTTACAAGAGCAGACACAACGTCATCCTCAGCGCTGGGATCTTTTTTGTCTCAGCTGGTATGTTCATGTTAATATATCAGATTTTACCTTGTAGGAACCTAGTTTTTATTGCATAACAAGAACTATAGCATAAGAAAATTGAGGAATACAGTGCTTACAATTTTTCCACATCGAATGAGCAAATCAAAAGAGAATAAAAAACAAAAAAATGAATAAACTTACAAGGGATATATAAATTATTCCAGAGACAATTATTCCAAAATCGCATCCATCCTTACAGCTTATTTATTTTTAATGTCTTTAAGGTTTACCACTGGACCATTTTGTTTGTGTACGTCAGTGGTCACCAAACTTGTTCCTGGATGGCTGGCGTCCTGGAGATTTTAGCTCCAACCCTAATCAAACACACCTGAACAAGCTAATCAAGGTCTTACTTGGTATACTTGAAACATCCAGGCTGGTGTGTTGAGGCAAGTTGGAGCTAAATTCTGCATGGACACCGGCCCTCCAGGACCGAGATTGGTGACCCCTGGTGTACATGGTACTTACCATATATAATCATTCGATTATAAACAAATTTTGCTCCACAGTTTTATTATTATTATTATTGTATGTCAAAAAATCTTTTTTTAGTTTAAATGTAAGAAATTCAGCATCAAACCAAAACATTTGGGTATATGTGCATTCAAAATATTGTAAAGCAGTGTTTGATGCATTGACCAGGAGGTGGCGCTGTAAACAAATGTATGTGGTGTTATGGTAATGACATGGAACTCAGTATCTGTCACTGTAAAATCATGCTATGGTTTGTTACAAATATGACCCAGAGTCATTATTAGGATATTAATAGTCAAATGAAATAGGCGGGTGTCATTTTTGCATGCACTGTAAATAAAAAACAAAGTTGACTCAACTTAAAATTTTAAAGCAACAGACTTCAGGACATTTTTGAGTTAACTAAAATCGAGTCAAGTGAAGTAATTGGGTTGAAAGTTGAGTTAACTCAAAAAGTCTGCTTATGTTTGTTGCCTAAATTTTAAGTTGTCAACTTTGTTTTTACAACGTGACAAGTTGACAGAAAAACTGTAAAGTAAGATCAAAATTAATTAGATATTACTCATGATCTGATGATACAAGGTCAGAATTATTGCATAAAAAGAATAATTATGACAAAAAAAGAAATCACCTTTTGTTTTATCATATACTTTTATAACTCTGTAATGAATTATGACTTAGTATCTTATTTGTTTACTTTTGTCCACTTTTTGTTTTGTTTTTTTGTAATAATTATAGACATTCCATTGTATTATACCTTTTAATCTCCAATAGTTTTAACATTTTATCTCATAGTTGAAACTTTTTCATGTTTTTAAGTTTTTTCCCTTTTTCACAAATATGATTTGTCATAATTTCAGACTTTTTATAATTATGAAATATCTCATAGAATGATTTACCAAAGCATGTTTTTTCTTCTTATGTAAGATAAATTGTTTAGTTTAAATATGTGACTCTAAACCACAAATCCAATTGTATGCTGCATGGGTATATTTTTGGTTATAGCCAAAAACACAGTGTATGGGTCAAATGCACTGTTTTTATTTTATGCCAAAAGTGGATAGAATATTAAATACAGATCATTTTCAGCGAAGATTTTTTATTTCCTGTATTAAATATACCAAAATTTATTTTTAGTGAGCATTTCATAATATAGACTAATTTAACCCTTATGTGCTGTTGGGGATGTTTTCATCCACTCTGGAGTGACTCTGAGTCTTCATTTGGTCATTACTTTTTTCTGTGTTTCAGCTAGCAGAGTGATTTTTGGTGACAAATCTTTTTTTGACACATATTTTGAGAAAAAGCTTTAAGTAAGAAAAAAAAAAACGCTCAACAATACACTCTGGGCAAATTGACTATCCTTTTGTTATGTTCGGGATGAAAACATTCACTGAATTAAACTGATGGAAAAAAGCATCAGATTATTATTTTTTTTGCATAAATCTGTTAATCAACCTCAGTCCTGATCAAAAATTATAAATAGCTTAGAAAATGACAGGATTTAACTCTTTAATTGCTAATTTTATAAATGATGTCACTGATTTGGTGAAAAACATGACATATATTCAATCTAAAAAGTAATATGGACTGTTTTTTTCTCCTCTTCTATCAAAGTCTTGGACATGTGAAATAACATCACCTTTGATGCTTGTTTGTGATTGATTTTCATTTTTTTCTCCCTAATTTTCTGTTGGTGGCTGTTTTTGCCCTGTTGACTTCCGTTATAACCACATTTTGTTTATTACAAAGCCATGACACCATATAATCATGCAGTTTTGATTGTTGGTGGTTTTCCCTGTTGGCAAGAGGTAAATTCTGTCATTTTTACTGTTGATCATCAGTTGGCACCATTAACCCTTTAGATAGGCCTGTGCAAATAAAGCTTGGTTTTTAATGTGGAGTATAACAGCAAATTAAAGTGTGTGTGTATTTGTGTCTGTGACAGTGTGACCTTTGCACACTTACCTTGATGTGTCTGGGAAAATCAAAATATGCATCTCTGCTCTCAGAACTACACGGAGTAAACAAAAACAAAGACTCCGTATTCATGCTCCATCAAATGTGATTATAATGGAAGTCAATAGGGCAAAAACAGCCACCAACAGTAAATTAGGGAGAACAAGTGAAAATCTAACAATGCATCAAAGCTAATGTTGTTACTAATAATTCACTTGTTAAATACTGTGATTTAAAGGGAAAAAAACCCAGTCTACAATTACTTTTGATATTAAAAAATACATAATTTTGTGTGTGTGTGTGTGTGTGTGTGTGTGTGTGTGTGTGTGTGTGTGTGTGTGTGTGTTTACCAAACCAGTGACCTTATTTATGAATTTGGCAATTAAAGAGTTAAAATCCTATAATTTAGTAGTTTTAATCAGGACTGAGGTTGATTTAACAGATTTATGCAAAAAATAAAATTGAAAAAAATATTAATCTGATGCATTTTTACAGCAGTTTAATTTAGTGGATGTTTTCATCCCTAACATAACAAAAGGGGAGTATTAGTTTAATACTTGAACAGTGCACAAAGGTTAAATATTGTCCAGTCTTAACAAATATACATCAGTGGAAATTTTATTTAATCAGCTTTCAGATAACACTTATGACTGGTTTTGTGGTCTAAATATGGTCATTTTCCTATGAGGACAACATACATGAAAACATTTAGAGACATTTATCTTAGTTACAGGCTCATTTTTAAGCCAATTATATGCAAAGCATGACTAACTTAACAATCCACTCACAACCGAATTGCACCAAAAGTAAACAGACTGCATGTTTTATTTTCTTCAGGCCTCAGCAACATCATTGGCATTATTGTGTACATCTCCTCCAGCGCCGGCGACCCCAACCAGAGCGAGTCCAAGCGCAGCCACTGGTACGGCTGGAGCTTCTACTGCGGTGCTCTTTCCTTCATCATAGCGGAGACGGTGGGCGTCCTGACCGTGCACCTGTTCATCGACACGCACCGGGTGCTCAGAGCGCGGGCCCATCGCTCGCTACAAACCAGCACGCATTCACTACAGCATCGCCGCTCCTTCAGCTACCGCTCGCGCTACCGCTGGAGGCAAGGCCCAAACCGCTCATCTGACTCCCGGTCGCGTGAACCCTCTCCCGCCCGTCAGGGGAACGACCTCGGCCTGTACGCGCTGGGACGAACACTTCCACCAACAGCTGCTCACCCACTCGCGCACAACTCCCTCAGCTCTAGCCACGGCTTCGCACACTTTCATAACTCTGTCATTGCTAATAACAGCTTTGCTAACCCTCAAACATTCCCAATGCAGAACTCTGTGAAGTCAGAAAGAGGGCTTCCGCACATACAGAACTCGCTGGGTCCAGAGAAAGGCTTTGTGGTTCCTAATGCGCAAAATTCAGTCAAGGCGGAAAACGGAGTCTTGCTGTCGCAGAACTATAAGCGCAACTCAGTAAGTACCGGTAAAAGTGTAGCGCATCTGCCGAATTCGGGGAATGATGTTGCACACATGCAAAACTCTTTTAAAGAGTCATTGTTTGTGCCTCAAAGTGGCACTGCGACAAGAAGAACAACACCAGTGTAAAAAGAAAAGATTGAAAGGGATAGTTCTGATTCAAAATAAATAAATAGATATGCTGTTCATTTACTCATCTCAGGGAATCCAAGATGCTAATGACTTTTGTAAGTTAAATATTAAAGGTACACTCCACTTTTTAAAAAAAATAGGCTCATTTTATAAGTCATGAAGTATTCATTCAATAATTGTCTTTCAGTTTCGTCCTTTTATTCATCATTCCACAACGGAATGAACCGCCAACTTATCCAGCATATGTTTTACACAGTGGATGCCCTTCCAGCTACAACGCAGTACCGGGAAACATCCATACACATTTATTCACACACATACATTTAGTAAAAATTAAGTTTATTTAATTCACCAATAGCGCATGTGTTTGGACTGTGGGGGAAACCAGAGGAAACCCACGCCAACATGAGGAGAACATGCAAACTCCACACAGAAATGCCAACTGACTCAAACCAGCGACCTTCATGCTGTGATTCGACAGTGCTAACCACTGAGCCACCATGTCACCAGTCATGGAGCATTAAACAGATAAAATGTCCTAAAATACATTTTTTTGGGGTCTTGTGGGACCTTTAGCTTAGCTTAGCATAAATCATTGAATCAGATTAGACCATTAGCATCTCACTCCAAAATTTAAAAAAAGAAGAGTATAATAATTGATCATTTTCCTAATGAAAGCTTGACTCCTCTTTAGTTTCATGGTGCACTAAAACCAATGGAAAAGTTGCTATTTTCTAGGCTGATATGGATAGGAACTATACGCTCATTCTGGTGTAATAATCAAGAAACGTTGGTGCCGTACCGTGGCTGCAACTGGCGCGATAATATGCAGCACCTTAAAAAACCCCTAACACCAAGCCCTTTACCTGAACCAGCAGTTAGAATCTGCATAATAACATTGCACCTGCTGCAGATTAGCAAGATGCTAATGGTCTAATCCAATTCAATGAGCAATAAGCTAATGCGACTGCCGGATTTGGAGTAAAGCTCACCTGTTTCAACTATAGGTGAGGTGTGAAATTAGCCTATTTTATAAAAAAGTGGAGTGTGCCTTTACGGAAGTTTTTTAGCTGAAACGGTGGTCCTTGATAACTCATGAAAAGTCAATGGCTTAAGGAACTTTGGGGGTGAAAAAAGCTAGATTAATGATCATGGCTCATTGAAATCTTATGAAGTGCATTAATGATTCTGCAAGAAACTGAACATTATTCGTAACATTATTACCTTTAAAGGTGCAGTAGGTGATTGTCTTCAGAAACATTCGTTGTTGTGCTGGTTAAAAGTCTCTTCACAGTCAAATAGTAATGATTAAAGTAAAAGATCTAAATGTATTTATGTTTATATTCTGGGTAAGGCAAAAAACTGAAAAATGTTCATCTAATTAAAAATTTTCTGGTTGACAATTCCCATTATTCTAATAAGTAGCCCAAACTGTCTGTCAACAAATGTAGATTTGTACATCTGCACAGCCTTTCACGCAAATCCGCCGTTTGCACGTGTGCTGCGTTCACCTGCACACGAGAGAAAAAGAGTAATAGCGGTAAAAACAAATGCTGAATCAAAATTTTTGAAAAAATCCTGAATCAGTATTGGAGTTACTTTTGCATGCTGGAGGAAGGAGGACACCATGGCTGAAGTATTTCTGTTAGACAGGTGATGTTCCGTTTTAAAACTATTTTAGTCAGCACAGCTTATGTAGATTTTGTTGTTATGAATGGGTTATATGCACAGAAGTGTTGTTTAGCCACTGAAATCTTCTGGCAAACGATTATGTGACTATTTTCAGTTTCACAAGGGACCTTTTACAGCATAGATATTGTAGATTTATTTTTAGTTTAACAACAAAACATAAGTATACTATTTCGCCTAGCTGCTTTACTGAGGTGAAGTTAGTTTTATATTCACATTAGTTCATTTTTGAACAATGACAACCTGTGAGGCGCTCCCTATTACAGGTGTGAACCTACACTGATCTCAAGGTTCAGTTCGGTTAAGATTATCATGCTACCCGCTCAACAGAAAGGGCTGTGATTGGCTTTAGAAATGAAAGCGCTGTTCACCAATGAGTGATGCGGGAATAACAGCCACGGTTAGTCTATATGCGCATAATACACAGTTATCACAGGTAATCCGTAATAGACACAGTGGAGAAAACTCACACTTTAGGCACGCTCGTGTCTGGATCCAAAAGTATTGCTTTAACTGCCGAGAGGAGAGGAAAAGTTACCTCATGAACATGCCAGCGGGTCAAATGTCCAAAGTGAGTGAGAGAGAGAGAGATGGAGATGGATTTTTAAAGTATTTCTCCCTAGTAGTAAATTAGCGACTCTGGCTGTACCTTCTTCAGTGTCAATGAAAGACTTCCCAGCAAACTCACAAGCAGTTGAACTGTGCATAATTATCTACCTTTTAAGTAGCAGGAGCATTTTACTCGCCCTTACCTCCTTCGCCATAGTATTCTACTGCCACATCGCGCATAGGAGATAAATGACGTCAGAACCTAAAAACCTGTTATGATTAGTACTGAACCGATATTGAATTGTCCCCATCTGCATCGCTGTGCACCGAAAAAACAGTTAATTTTGACACCACTACACCCTATATTGTTTACCATGGTACTCTGAATATTCGGTCTTATATAGCATGTAAGTATGCTACTGAAAACGTGCTAGATATAATTTTTTTGTTCAGAATTATAGTAGTATAAAGTACTGTAAATATTTCTAACTGGCGAATGACATGATCTGGTAGTAAGTTGTCTACTGTCATCTTTAAGTAGAGAGAATTCAAGATTTCAGGAGGCATGGCTTTATTTTGCCTATTAGGAAGGAATAAGTTTCAAAGATATTATGCTAACTGGTTAGCATTTTGGCAGATCACCTACTGCACCTTTAATCCTAAATAATTGACTAAGTAATAATAAATCCTAATAAGAAATCAGTGTATTGTCAAGAGCCACAGGTATTAATTAGTTTTGCCTGAATGTTATTTTGTAACTCTAAAAGTGTCTGTGGCTTTCATGAATCCCAGAGAGCGATAATTTCAGACAAAAAAATAAATAAATTGGTAGCACTTTACAATAAGTTTGTATTAGTTAATGCATTTACTAACATGACCAAAGAATGAACCATACATTTATTGCAGTATTTGTTCATTTTAGTTATTGGAAATACAGTCGATCATTGTTAGTTCATGTTACCTCACGGTGCATTAACCAATGTTATCAAGCATGAATTTAGATGTTAATAATGCATTGGTAAATGTTGAACTATGGCTAATAAATGCTGTACAAGTATTGTTCATAATTAGTTTATGTTAGTAAACACACGAACTAAAAAGATTGTAAAGTGTGACCAATTAAAATCCTTAATATTCGGCTAAAGATAAAAAGTCAGCTACGCCTTGAATGTCCTGAGAGTAAGATAACAGCACATTTTCAGTTTTGGAGAGTGAGCTATCCCTTCAAGGCCTCTGCTGCTACAGTATATAATACTCTATGAAAGGTCTGAGAAAAGATTCGCTATTTTCTTTCACCGGAATATGTGCATATTGTTTGCTTTTAGCTCTAAAGGAAGAGGATTGACGCTGAAACAAAATGGTGCTGTCTAATGCCCTCTGCTGTCTCTGTGCAGAAATGAACAAGCTGCCTTGTCCTTCAAACTATTTTGGATGCAATACTCACAACGGCCACATTGAGCAGTAAAGTACTGTGTTCTCAGTATGGACCCTTTTCATAGACCCTTTTCGGGTGATTTGCTTGCAGTTATGAAAGGGATAGTTCAAATATTTCCAAACCTGTTTTAATTTTTTTTAACGTTGTATGAAACACAAAAGAAGATATTTTGATTAATGTTGGATATTGGTAGTCACATGCATAAAATAGAAGTCCATGGCTTCCAGTGTCCAACATTTTTCAAAATATCTTCTTTTGTGTGTTCAACATATTAAAGTAAGCACAAACAGGTTTGTGACAAGTGAAGGGTGAGTAAATGTAGTTCATTTTAGAGTGAACTATCTCTTTAAAATCACATATACAGGTAATTTGTTTATATTTATAACGCTATACTTTGTTCTGTCACCTTGAAATAAACTTTCAGAAATGGAGTTAAATCTGTTGTGTTTCTGCCATAACGAATGAGGGAATGACATCAAGTTGTAATTAATTTGACACGTTAAGACATTTAATCATGGATTATTTCTTTTGCTATTGGAGAAATTGGAAACCCAAAAAGATTTGGGCATTATTATAAAAAGTAACCCAATGTGAAGTCTGAAAAGGGTCCATAATTTCTAGATCCATATAAATCTAGTCTACTTTACAGCTTTTCTAAAAACATAAGTCTCAGTCTCAAAAACCCTTTTGTAAAAGGAACTACTTTCTTCCGCCATTCATTCACATGCTCAGAACAGCAGAAACCTAAATAACTTGCTAATTCACCAACGTCACTTTAGAGATAGTATTTGAATGATTCTTTAGCATAATGTTTTAAATGATGACAAAACAGGTGATTTTGGTCCAATTTTAAGATTATAAAGCTGAACGGCATGATTTCCCAATATTTCTCTGTTGCAATCAGGATTTCACAATAGTTAACAATAAAAAAGCCAGAGCAAAGCAAACACTAACAGATTAATGTGGTATAAATACAGCAATACAAAATATAAAAGAGAGATCGACTTAGAATGTCATTTACCTGTTCTGTAATTATTTATTCAGCTGTAGTTTAAAACATTTGCCGAAAAAAATGCTGTTTTTCTTAATATGCTGTCTCTGTCCGCCATCTTGTGGCGGAACGTCAATCGTCTTTGCTCTGCTCAGTATGGTAGGCTGGCTGTCAACGGAATAATCTCAGAAATTATGAATATTTAAAATAGGCACTATCCTTATAAATAAACTGCATGGCTGCAATCTAAACAACCACATTCTCGACTAAAAAAAGCTTTAAAACTACATTATGTTGTCCAACAGCAGCAATATTTGTAGTCTGATTGGCGGAGTAATACACAAGGGCTGCACTATTGCTGATATTACTTTAATATCTCACGGCTATCAGCCAATCAGATTCGAGAACCAGACAGAACTGTTGTATAAATATATATGTTAGTGTGTGTGTCTGGCTTATTGTGTTTCCTTTTGTAATACAAATACAAAACAGGCAAATAAATATTTTTTAATTGACAATATGTACCAACGCTTGGTAATAATAGTGCCAATTATTGACTATGAATGGGGATTTTTTAGTGCTAATATTTACTTCTGTTGGAGTGT